TGCATTCCTGTGAAATATCTGCAGTTAGATACATGAGTATTGGGTAAAGTACCCTAATGCTTTTGCTGCTGTTGAGAGGCCTCAGGCACTGGGGTGTCCTGCTCATGTGTAGCGAAAAGGTTGGGTGCAACAGATGGTTCCTTTGAGTCCTGAGCTCCATCAGGCAGAGGATCCCAACTATCAATGGTGGTCATATGCCAGGGAGTTACCTAATTTTAAGGAATATTATTGAGAATGTTTAACATTTTCAGAATAAAGGCTGGCACCTGAAGTGTAGTATGGCAGTGTCTGGACAGCCTGTAGGAATGCAGAGTACTGAAGTAACTTAGTAACTTGAATTACAAGCACACTGTTTACATGCTCTGTATTATCTGCAGCTGCTTTTATAACTGATATTTTTAGTCCCCCAAAAATAGTGGTTGTGAATTTGTCAGGTTAATGTTTTTATGAAGAACTTAAATGAGGAAAAATACAGCACCGCAGTTAGTAAGTGTAGTGAGTCATTCAGAATAAAATAACAGATTATTCCCACAAGTTTAATCCCACAGAACTTCCATTGACAACAGCAGATATTTTTGCAGAAGTAACATTTAGCTTTCCATCCATTTGTTCATACGTTTTAGAACCATTTTTTTCTGTAATTTGTGCATATATTTACTAATGTTAAAATGTTTTATTTTAATCTGCATTTAGTATTCACCCTTTTAAACTTTAAATAGTGTGCTTCTCTTATGAGAAGTACTTTCCCCTGATTCATTCTTCTCTGCCAGTAGTTTCTACATCTCTGGTTTATTTTTTTCAAGGTTATTATTTCTTCGAGTTGTTTTTTTCCTCTGTGCAAAACCAGTCTCACCACTTCATACAATGTAGAATGTTCCCATCTGGTCTGTTGTGTTTCTTTTTGACTGCAAATGTTGAATTTTAACATGCTTTTCAAAATTAGGATATAATTGTTGTAGAGCCTGCTATTGTAATACACCTTTGGCATGGACATGGTGTCCATATAGAGTGTTCAAACTCTAGAATTTAATCTTTCATGTTTTAGCGTTTTCTGTTTTGTTTGAAAATTTTATTTTCTAACCCACGTGACTGAAATTAACTTCCTAAACATGAAGTGGGCATAAACTCCATTTAGGATCAACATGTATTTGTGTCTATGGCCCTTCTTTGTACACAGATATCTCAAATTTCTAGTAGAAGTTAATCATGGCACTTGAAAGGATGTCCCTGATATAGTATAATGAACAAAGGGCAGGGACGAAGGTCTATGGAAAAGGAGAGAAAGTAGAGGAAAGGAGATTAAAATGGATGAGGGGAAAAGCAAGAATAAGAGAAAAAGAGAGAAGTGAAGGAAAAGAGAGAATTGAAGTAGTCCTTCAATAAGAGTATGTTTTCCGCTTGTAGGTGTTGAATCTGACTATATGTTACCAAACAATTAATTAACATAATTAAAAGAGTTAAGAACCAGTCCTTTTATTTACAGTACATGGAAGGGTGTTTGTGCCTGTCTAGTGAAATACAGGAACAGAAATCCTTCCAGTGATTATGCGCTTCAGGAACAAGGCTTTGATTATTCACAGAATAATAGAGTAGCTTAGGTTTGTCAGGACCTCTGTCAGTCATCTAGTTCAACTGTGGGTTCAAAGCATGTCCAACAAGAACAGGTTACTTAGGGCTGTGTGACCAGGCTGTACCTCTGAGGGTGGATATCCTAGCTCCAGGCAACCTGGTACAGTACTGGACCATCGTTAGCCCCAGCTGCACTTGCTCCAGTGTATCAATGCCTTTCTTGAAGCAAAGAGCCCAAAAGCAGACACAATGATTCAAGTTCAGGCTCAGGAGTCCTGAGCAATTGTTTCTCTTGGCCTGGTGACTATGCTTTTGATAATGCAGCCCTGTATGCGATTGACCTTTCCTGCAAAGGATGAACTTCTGATTAACATTCAAAGGATTCTCCAGCTCCTTGTCTTCAAATCTGTTTTCTAGCCAGTCTATACCACTGCACAGGGTTATTCCAACCCAGGTGGAAGACCTCGCACTTGCTTTTGTTGAACTCTGTATGGTTCCTGTCAGCCCATTTCTCCAGCCCATCAAGGACTACCTGAATGCAGCCCCGCTCTCCAAAGTATTGACTGCTCCCTCCAAGTTGATGTCATTCACCAACTTGCTGAAAGTGCACTCTGTCCCATCATCCAGGTCGTTAATAAAGACAATAAATAGTGTTGGCCCCAGTGTGGATCCCTGAGGGAAGTTCCTAGTAACTGGCTGCCACTTGGACTTCAGACTGCTGGTCAGAACCGTTTGAGTCCGGCGGTGCAGCCAGTTTCCCTCAGATCTGTTTATCCAGTCCATATCTCCCCAGTCTTTCTTCAAGGACACATGAGGAGACTGAGTCAAAGGCCATCCTAAAGTCAGAATGTACAACATTCACTGCCTTCCCCTTCCTTGTCCACAGCACCAGAGTCATCCTTGGTAAATCCATATGGGATATTAGCAATCACCTTGTCCGTCATGTGGCTGGCAATGGCTTCTAGGAGATTTGCTCTATAACTTTCCCTGAGACAGAGGTGAGGCTTGTAGGTGCCCGAATCCTCTTCTTGCCCTCCTTGAAGATGGGTGTGACATTTTCATTTTTCCAGTCATCAGGAACCTGCCGGGATCACCAGTGTTTCAGTGATAGTAACATCGGCCATCTCCCCCAGCTCCTTGAGCTACATCCCATCTGGTCCTGTTGACTCCTGTATGGCCAGTTGGGCTCAAGAGCTTCCTTTCTTCTTTTACAGCAGGTGTTGCTCCAGTCCCGCAGGAGGCTGAGGGGCCTGGGAGGCCTGAGGACAAAACTAACCAGTGAAAACTGAGGCAAAAAAGGCATCAAGTACCTTGGCTTTTTTCATGTCTTTTGTCACTAGGTCCCATTTTCCACCAGGCAGTGGGTCCACATTTTCCTTACTATGTCCTTACTATGTCAGTCATATTCTAGTATTGTTATGTAGATAACTTCTCTGATGGACCTGCTGTAGACAAGCAGCATCTCCATTCTAAAACAAGGCATGAGTAATGTATAGAAAATTCTGAAGGCAACAGAAAAGATTAATTGAAGTTTTCAATGTAAAAGTACAGAATTATATAATGAAAGTTGAGGGTGAAGGTTCAAAATTAATTGGAATAAATTTTCACACAGTGGAGTCACCTGTACAAATGAGTTTCACAAAATATTTTGAAGGGCACTAGTTTTGACATTTTAAAAAAAGATACCTGACTGGGTATTTGTGTAATAGCTGTTTATACTAGATGCAAACTCCATCTAAAAAAACAAAAACTGATGTCTTTGGAGGTATATGTCTGTGGTGTCTATGAACTTACTGTTTTAGGAAAAAAGGTCCATCACTAGGTATCCTCTAGCTCCTCTAGATTGTCAGGTACTGAGCAGTGTCAGACACTGGACTTTGAATTACGTGGATCACTACCCTGGACTGGGGTGGTGCTTTCTCTGGTCTCTGTGACATTAATGGTGAATATTAACATTTAAGGAACCTTTTAACATCCTCTAATCTCTTTTTAAATTGCACTTGCAGTCATGGGAAATTCCTTTTTGTACTTTCCCATCTTATGATTGAGTGCACTCTTGCATGTGAAATCCCTGTGTCTGAGTCACTATTTATCACAGGAGGAATAAAACCTGAAAAGCATGCCACAGCTGTGGTACTCCCTCAGGTCATTTGGTAAGAGTAGAAAGAAATAATTCAAAATTACTTCTCTAAGAAGGGAAAAGATCTTTTTTCTTTGTTTTTCTTCTCTCTTATAAAAAACGATTTATTTCAGTGTATATTGTCTACAATGGAAGCATGTTTGATGAAGAACTATTTTTGTATGTGGCACTCTTAGAGCTGTGCCTATCAACTCCTGCAACTTAAATAATTTGAATTTATTTTAAGAATGTGGTGTGTGTGTTTATACAGGTGGTTTTTGTTTATGTAAGAAGGATTATACACAAAATTAAATGTTCGTCAGTAGTTCCTGAGTTAGCATTCTCTGTACATTCAAGTGCATCTGACTGTGTATTAAATGGATGGTATTAAAAATGTTTCTATAACTAAACTGTATTTAAGTCCTCAGAGAGGAAGCTTTTCAGCAAGCTGAACTTCAAATATAACAAACAGAATGATAACAAAATGCTCTTAAGCCACAGCCCGTTAAACGAGTAAAAATAATATTTGAAGGTGTTTTTTTCGTAGCTGTGGGTGTTGCATGTGGCAGTTATTCAGGAAATGCTAAGTTTTAATAGTCAGACCATCATTTCACATAGTATTACTCTTATTAGTAGTTCGTCTGGAAGGGAAATATATTTCTGAGTGAACACTTCCAAGTTACTTAGGTCCTGTTTTGTGCTGTTTGCAGAATTCCTGCAAAAGATCCCTTTCATGTAAAGGCCTGTGGAAGCTGCAACTCTTGAAAGTTTTGGTAAGCTGGTGAGCAGGGAAAAACTACCCCATGCAGCATCCCACGCCTGTTGGACACAAGGCAGCACAGAACCACAGGCGAGGATTCAGCCGGGGGAGACGTGTGCTTTGCTGAACGCCCCCCCGGCCTGCTGCCTGCAGCTTGCTGCCTAGAGGTCACAGCCAGTGGAGCACGTCATGTCTACCTGACGTGCCCTTTTTTCCTTCCCCTTCTCCATCCTAGGAAGTATTTTTCTTCTAGAATCTCCCATATCCATGCCTTTGGCATCGGCTCTGCTGTGGCTTCTCCTGTTGTCTTTAATACATGGTTTAGTTTTCTGGGTGTTTTATCATGAGGAACACAGGCTTGGTATCTGGGTATATGGATGAAATGCACTAGTTTATTTTCACAAGTTCAATCTAGGTATCTGGTCATTGTAAAAGGTGCTTGCGTCTTAAATTCTATGAAACTGCTTCCAGTGAGGGTTTAGAAACTTAATAAAACATCTTGTGCTGTGATTAAGGTGAGGACCCTAAAGAAAGTTAGTTATTTGTAGGGCCATGGAAGTCACTGGCAAAAGGAAGTTAAATCAAACAGTCAACATTCCCATCGTAGATACTGCAGTCTATTGGCAATCCTCTAACACCTTACGCCTGGGTGAATAATAGGAGCTTAACTTCATAAGTGAAGGGGTTTCTATAACCATTTGGGAAAGCTATAGTCCTTACTATTTGTCCATTTGAACCAAAGAGGTTTTGTTCTGATGCAGGAGACTACTGCTGTTGTTTTTGTGTGCTGTATTTTATAGAAACAGTCTGCTATTAGACTAAATATGTTGCCTTCTCTGCTGCCTCCAGTCCTAAACATTCGGAAATAAGATACTTTTTGTCACCTGTTGTTCTTTGCTAATGAATCTATTACCCTGAATGCCACAAGTTATCTAATCGTTGGTTCCCAAGGAAGATCTGTGTTTGCAAAGTCTGCAACATTTTGATTGTTATATACTTAGGATTAATTACGTTTGATTCTTTTACACTACTGTTTCTAGTATCATTCTTACTGACCATCTTTATCTTTCTTTTTGCAGCTTGGGTCCTGTGTTTGCGCTGTTTGTACCATTTTATTCCTCCATTCCAAGAGTGCAGGTGACACAAGTATTAGGCCACTTTTCTATCACAAACAAGACACTGGTCTACATATTGGGTTTACAGGTATGGTATGTACTTGCTTGTTCATCTTTTAATGAATTATTAATGTAGTAGTTAGTATTTCTGTATGTTCATCTATGAATTTTGATGCTTCCACATGTATGATTCCACATATGTTTAGCTAGTGACTGTCCCATCAACTAAAATATTGAAAAATGTGTGTTGCTAGTATGCATTTCTACATGCTGAAGTGGTGGTCAAGTGACCTGTTCTTCCATTGTCTTCTGTCTTGATTGTCTTGCACAGGAAAATGTAATAGACAATTCTACAATTTGGGGGTTTTGGTGGGGTTTTTTTTGGTCAACAAAATTAACTAGAAGAAAAGAGATGAAAACAGAACCTGATGCTAAGGCACATGTATCTTCTACCTTTCTAATTTGCTTATATTCTTGACTTTGTTTATTTTCCCCTTGTCTGTTAGAGCTCAAAGCAAGCTACAGAATACAGTATTTTTCTATGGTAAGACTGTGGTAAATAATCAAGGTTTTGGCTGAATTCCACTTTTATATAAATTAATATTATTTGTATATCAAGCATTACCATGTGACAGGTAATTTAAAGTAGTGTAATTTAAAGCACAACAATATCATGTAGTATTATGTTAAATATGAGTGGAAAAATATAGGTACTTGGTACAGAAAGGCAGTAGTTGTTCAGAACAACAACAACAAAAAAAAAACCCAGCAGCTTAGAAATGAATGGACACTCTTGTCACAACCTGAATTATGAAACAGGAGATGTGCAAACTTATGAGAAATTATACTCATTTTTATATATTCCAGGGACTCAAAAATAGCTCTAACACTAGCAACGGAAAGCACCATAGTTACGTGAAGTGTGGTCGAGAGTATTTTAGAATGAATGGTCAGTTTCAGAATATTGACTCGTACTCCACATGAACGTTTCATTCATCCCTTTTGCTCTTGAGCCTTTGGATTCGTTCAGTTTCTGCTCTAGTACCTTATTTTCTTGATCTTCTAGAAATCTTGTTTCCTCTCTTCTGAACCCACCAATTATTCCAGTCTTTGGGAAAGCCATGATATTTTCTGAGCTCTTTTTCATAGTGTCCTTTGCCTTTTGCTTTCATACACACACCACCTCTGATACATACCACTGCTGTTACTAATCACTGTATCATCGCTAGATCTTTCCCTGCTGCGTACAGAACTGTTGCTGCCGTCACACAGAGGCTGAGGGAAAAATCATTTGCCTTCTCCTCATTTGTAAGCTCTGCCCTTATCTCAAGTCATTCTTTCCGTAGTCAGAAGTCTAGAGGGAAGGTGTTCTCATGATTCAGTTGACATTGTGCAGAACTATTTTAGTAACCAGTATCAGTCTAATATTCAGCCCATTTTTCCAATTGGTAATAACCTTCTCCAGGTGATTAATCACATACTTCACTAGAAACAATGGGCTGCCCTGTTGGTTTATCAGGATTTTTTTTTAAATTCACTCCGACCTATTTCTGTGATTTCGTGTCGACGTGTGCCACTGGGTGAGATCTTTATTGCTTTAATTTTGATGCTCATGCTTAGTGTCTCCGTGAATGCGTGTCTGAGAGCTTCATTTGCCCTGCATGCCCAGCTTGGAACTCTTCTCCTGTTGCTGCTGAGTCATTTCCTTTGCTTCAGTCTATCTTTCAGACTTGTTTTTCTGTGCAGCCTATAACTGACATCCTGTTATACTTGGTATGCTATATGAAAATAAAATGTATTGTTCTGTAGAAGGAGAACAATTGTGGACCCCTGTGTTTTTTCCACTTCTGCTACTTCTGGAATACATCTTTTTTTAATGTTGAACTGAATTTTCACAGCAATAAATGTCTGACTTCTCCCATTGTCATGATAAGTACATAGCCTATATAATATTGCAACATAGTAGTTCAGACAGCAACAGCTTTGTAAAATTAAAATTTTAAATCACTGCTCTTGTCTTCTAGCTCTTAACCTCTGGTTCCTACATCTGGATTTTAGCCTTAAGTGGATTGGTAAGTCTTACTGTTTTAAAAATCATGTGTTGCTTAAAACACTCTATTATGTATACAATCGGTGCAGTATATTTGGACTCAAAAAGAACAGAAATTAGTAAGTAATGTTTTTATTTGTGACAGTAAGTAGAAATTTTTCATCTTTAGCTTCCAAAGGTGTAAAGCATTGGCTGGCTGGTGATAAACTGACAGACAACAAAAGAGCTGGTTAATATTTGCAGGGTGCCACTGCTCTCTGACTCCTAAAATTAATTTTACTGCCATGGATATAGCTTTAGACCCACAATTATAAATTAAACTATTGAGGAAATGGTAGCAATGTTTACTGTATTGGTTATTTTTTTTTTTTCAGTTTTCAGCAAGCCTCAAGCTTTTCTTCCAAAAAGCAGCTTTTAACAACTTTGCTGTGAGGATTTTTCATCCTTTGCTGTTCTCCTAGGACATCCGTAGTATAGCCATTTCTCACTGTGATAACGGTAGTAAAGAGTGCAAAATCACTTTCTTCACGCCAGTGAGATAAAGTTGGTGTGGTCTGTCTTTTTCCTTGCCGACTCTGTTCTTAGTACTAAGGCGCTTAGTGCTAAAAGAGATTGTACTAAGTCTTCTGCATTGTTAGATACTGATAAGCTGCTTTTAAAATTTTACAGACTTAGGAAATAGGAGCTCAGACTCTGATTTCTTAGCCCAAAATACTGTCTGCTTTTCAAACAATGAAAGTGCCACCTCTTCCAAAGAAGCTCATTATTAAGTTGATGCAATCTTAAGAAGAACTTAAATTGTGCCCTTGCTATTTAGAATTTGAATTTGCGGTGAGCTCAGAGCAAAATGCCTGTGGGACACTTCACATATTGATGCTATAACTCAGTAGTTTGGTCTCTTACCATTTGCATTGACTGTTCCAAAATAGTCTGTGAGCTCGCAGTATAACTAACAGGAGTGATGGAGCAGTAAATAGTGAAGTCCGCTCAGCAATTTGGTCTGACCATAAATATCAATGAAAACAGTGTAACTAACAAACCAGAATTTCTCTGTCCTGGAGATTAGCCCAAGCCTCTGTGCCCGCCGAAGGATCTGTGACTTCCTCCAAACATACTAGCCTTCCTGTTACTCTTCTGGCTCTTTTAATAGCCCTTCCTTTTGAACAGGTGTTCATTAGAGAGGGAAGGGAAGAAAGGAAAGAAAAGGAAAGGCGTTTTAACTCCCTCTTTCCTGGTGGCAGGAACTGTATTTATACTTGGTTATACAGACTTACAAAGAATGGCTCAAATATTTTTTTTTTCATAATATATTGTGCAGTTCTTATTTTAATTCCCTTTTAATGCATAGTTTTATTCAGCTGAATAAAATAACTTTCTTAGGATTCTTTTTCATAAATTACCTTTTTTTTAATTGCAGGTTGACAGTGTGTTTTACACAGGTATAAGTTCATAGGAATAAATTGAACTTTCTCTTTCACGGAAGGCTTAAAAAAATCATTTGAAGTTTTCATATTGCTTCAGTCAGCATGAATTAAGTCATCATCTGTGATGATGTGTTTTCAGTCTTAATTTCTTCTGCAGCAAGCAGAGAGCTGCACTGTACTGTTTTGTAAAAAGTGCTACAATCCGGAAAGAAGCTCATGTTATGAATTTCAGCCATTTTTTGCACAGCATATCTGTCACACTTATGTCAATAAGAAGTCTCTTTTTCTCCTCTGTTAGAAATTATAATTTGGCATCTTTTGCGAAAACTTGATAAAGGAGTAAAGTTTCACAGTGTATTAAATAATCTGAAGAGGGATATGAAACACTGTCAACGCACCTTTTAGCACTACAAGTGTAAATAATTGATAACATGTATATGTACAATTACAGAAATATGTAGGTTGTCAAATGAGTATTAAGTCATTCCAACAACTTATGTATTTTGTAATTCTTGACATTTTCTAACATACTATATCTTTGTTGAATCAAGTTTTCATGTATTTGTACAAAAAGGCTGAGTAAAATGCATGAACACCAAGTCAGCTAGGTGTGATATTTAGTCACTAGTTCATTGCCTGTTGGACACTTCACTGTCTGTATTTTTAGCTCTAAAGAGCACTTAGACACTCATATGACTGTATATGTTGCTGTTCTGCAATTTAGCTTTTGTTGCACTTCTGCTTACGCGGAGTTATAAAACAGATGGTGCCAGCACGATTTCTGAATTGTTGTCAGTTTCCACTTTCTCTTCACCATGTTCCCGGTTTAGGTTTACTTAAATTCTCACAATTTATATTTTAACATGTAATGAACACTCTTAGTCTAAACAGGATCTGACTTTCCAGGTACAAGATGTGGCACTGGAGATTGATTTCTGTGTTGATCCTTGCTAATGCTGTTAGACTTCCCTGTGAATGCCAGGCAGGGTGTAGAGCAACTGGGAATTGTACCACCTTGAGTTCTTGCTTTCAGTAGTTTTGAGTGATGCCGTCATTACAGAAATGTGTTTGCATGTGTGTATGAGTCTGTGTACGCAGATAGGCATTGATGTAATGTGCCTGGTGACAGGGAATTTTAGAATTTGTAGTTTGACACTGGATTGTTCTCAGTTACGGAGATTACAGCACATGTTTTGTTATTGGAATACAAAAGGTCTACTCTTTGTGTCTTTCCCATAAGGTATATCTCCTTAGATCTCTAATTTTGAATCAACACAGGAATGCACTCTTAAAGGCAGCTTCTTTACTCTCCAGGTGAAACTGGAGTATCCCTCAATTACCATTCTTTTGGTATGTCATTATGGGCCTGGTAATTTCAGTTGCTGGTATGTTGTGTAAAACATGCTGTTTAAATACATGGGGCTTATTTACAAGAAAGGGAGAATTTAAGAAGTAGACTGTAAACAAATTCGCAAATCTGATGTTGTTATTCTTATACTTCATGAGACTAATTTAGTTTCTTGTGATTGTTTTTTTGCCAGGAATATACCATACTTGGTGCATACAGTCCAGATTTGTTTCTTATGATGGGGAGGGGTTTATGTCATAAAATTAGGAAACTTCGTATTAGAGGTGCAGGTGCATCATGAAAGTCATACAACCTATTTCCATTTAAGCCAGAAATTCTTTCAGTAGTTGTTTACAGAAGTGCTTCCATATAATGCATATCCCTCAGTTTAGTGAAGGCCAGAAACAATTTCCCTACTACTTTTTTTTCTTTAAACAGTCAAAACACCTTAGAAAATGGTATCCACTTGAATGTGTCATTGGACGCATACATATCAACCCATCTTCTCTCCCTTTTTTTCCCTCCCTTTAAAATCTCTTAGGTGTTTGGCTTACTTTTCTTATTGCTATACTCTTGCAGAGTTGAAATTTGAGGGGCATGTCAAGGCTCACTCAATCATAGCTACAGCATACCTGCTTCAAGAAGTAAGCTCAGGTTGGTACCAGCAGATGAGATATGCCCACTGGGACATGCTATTCCCTCCACTCATTAGTATAATGTTGTCATCATATAGATCATATGCCAGGGTTCTGCTAACTACGTAGCTAGGGCTATATTTCATAGAGGAAGGGTATCTTTCAGGCCCTTTCTGCAATTTTAGTGTTGTAGCCTCTTTCTTCTTATCTAGTGTCATTTGTTTATTTGTTTGCAAGGTGACCTGCATTTTAGTCTAGTCTACCCTTGATTGGCCTAGAGTAGACTTGGTAGTGTAGGTTAATGGTTGGACTAGACGATCTTAAAGGTCTTTTCCAACCTAAACGATTCTATGATTCTATGATTCTATGATTGCATAAAGTTCAAAATTTGGAATACCCCAAGTCTTCTGTGAGCTGCCTTGCATTTGTGTAGAGTTCAGTTCAAACATTAGGAAATTGAAATTGTCTTAACCTTACAAATGCTGAAGTTTGTAAAACCCTGTTTACTTTGCAGATTTCACTAAACCAAATGCAACGGCCTTCTGCATTGTTTCTGTGCTACACTGTGATTTACTTTTCTCAGGTTTTACGAAAAGTTGCGCTTTCTGTACTTGAGATATTGGAAAACTGTAGAGAATCTGTAATTTAGAGCATGTACTTTAAAGGCTTAAGGTTGAGATAGAAAGTTCAGGCAGTGAGTGCTTGGTTTTAATTTCGGTTCTGATTTTTGAGTGCTTTAGTTCTTATTCATAATTTTGAAGTTGCTAACTTGGCTTTACATAGACTACAGATATCTGTTGTTAAATGCTCCTGAGCGTGCTTTGGATTGTTTTGAGTTCTGTTTCTTAAGAACTTTATTCATCCTTTCTGTTTGTTACTCGTTCAGCTGAGGTATTTTTCTATAGTGAGTTCCTGTCCTTTAGAATCAGCATTTATAGGATAAGATGTGATTGGGCTGGGGAGCAAAACATTTAAACCAGACTTTCATTTTTTAGTTCTTGTCTTAAAAATAACAGTATGTAGTTATATCTGATCAGGCCTAAGAATCATTTATTTTCTTGTTGTTATTCCTCTTCCACATCTTTCTTAAGTGATTTTGAACAATCCTTACTGAATTCTTTTTCTTTTTTTAAAAAATGTTTTGCAGAGAATGCAGAAGCATTTGTATTACCCCACAGTGCAGTATTCATGTTTAAAATATTATCCCTTCTACATACTTAAAATTAAAATTAAGTATGTGCTGACTTTCTTGAAGACAATCTTTGATCAGAGCCTGATAATGTAGTATGCAGTTACCTCCACATTCACGTCCTGCCATATGTCATCCTTCATCCTCCAGTTAGTCTGGACATCCTCCAGTTATCCACGCTGAGTCTTACGTAGATCTTTAGTCAACATCAAAGTGTGATATTCCTTGAATTCTTTGTAATTGTTTAATTATAAATGGTGATTCAGGTAAGTCTACTTACATCTAGTTAAATGTCTTCTGGTAGTGCTTTGGTGATGCAGAAGAGAGTCAGTCTAATAGGACTGAGTTGGATAATTTAAAAAAATATATGAAAGCTATGCATTAATTGTTTTTTATGCTGTTGATTTATAGCCAAGCAATATTTGA